CCCATGGGCGACCCCAGAAGCTGCCTGCCTGCCGCCCGTGATCGGATCCAGTCCCAGGCCACAGGCTGGCCCCGGAAGCCCCAGAAGCTGCCTGCCTGCCACCCGTGATCGGATCCGATCCCGGGCCACTGGCCAGCCCCAGAAGACCCCTGATATGGCAGTAACTCTATCAGTAATCACTCTGAAAGTCAGTGGCATAAATGCACCAATTAAAAGACAGATTATGAGGGTGAATCAAAAACAAAACCCATGTTAAATATAAAGACACATATAAATTAAAAGTAAATGAATTAAGCTGTAGCCTGTTTTGCTCAGTGGATAGAGCATTAGCCCATGGACTGAAGGGTCCCAGGTTAGATTCCAGTCAAGGGCATGTACCTCAGTTGCTGGATTGATCCCCAGTCCCTACCAGAGCATGTGCAGGAGGCAACCAATCAATGTGTCTCTCCCTTTCCCTTCACTTTCTCTAAAATAGAATGGAAAAATATCCTTGGGTGAAGATTAACAAAAACAAAGTAAATGGATTAAGTAACATTAAAGAGATTATAAGATTATCATTTGTGTTTCTTAGATCATTTTTCTTACTGATATCTTTATTGTGTATATGTCAGTTATTAAGAGTCATGTTAATATTTCCAGCTATGAGTATAGAATTATCTTGCCTTTAATTTGTCAATTTATATTTAATATGTTGTGATGTTATGCAATTGAGTTCACATTAATTAATGCTAAATCTTTTTTATCTTATAAAATATATATTTTTTAAAACTTAAAAAAAAAGAGATTATAAGAAAAATATATTCCAAATTTTGTTAGTTGTATAATGGTTATGTTTAAATTATTAACACTTAAGAAATTGGGTGAAGGGTACATATAATATGCTGTAGTATTTTATAGTTTTTTTTACATGTATGAGATTATTTCAAATTAACACATTGTATGCGGGAAATGTATTTATACGTTTTATGTTGACTGTAAGTAGTAGAGCCACCTGTTAGCGCGCGATAAAAACTACCCGCAAACAATGTGTTAAAATATTAAAAAATTAAAAATTAATACAATATTAATTGAAATATATCTGCATTACATGAAAAATCTTCTAATTGCTTTTAGCATAATTTATTAAATTGTTCTAAAACTTACAAGGGTTCAATTAGAAAATATCTTAATTCTAAATGATATAATAGAAAATATATAATAGTGCAGTTATAAGCACTTATCTGAAAATAAAAATTTAAAGAAGTGAATTTAAAGAAGGGATTAGCCAAAGAAAATATATGCACAACCCATGGACACGGACAACAGTATGGTGATGGCCAGAGAGAAGTGTGGGGCAAGAGCTGGGTAGAGGGGGCAAGAGGGAGGAAATAGGGACACCCTATATCCTATCTAATCATAGACAAACATGGTAATTAACTGTACCTCTGACATGCTTCCCATTGGCTAATCAGGGTGATATGCAAATTAACTGCCAACCAAGATGGCGGCCAGCAGCCAGGCAGCTGAAGCGAACAGGAGGCTTGCTTGCTCCATGATGGAGGAAGCCAAGGTTTCCCGCCTGCCGCTGCCGGCCTCTGAGCTGCAGTCTAAGAAACAATGTTGCAAGTATAGAAGCTGAACAAACCCCAGAAACCTGCTTTCAGCCAGCCGGGCTTCAGCCAGCAGGACCGCAACATTGTTTCAATTATAGAACCCAAACAAACCCAGAAACCTGCTTTCAGCAGCTGAGGTCTCAGAGCAGCAGCTGGGCCTCAGAGCTTAAGCCGGCTCTCAGCTCCAGTGACAGCCATAGAAGGTAAATAAATCCCAGAATTAAAAAAAGAAAAGAAAAAAAGGAGAGGTTGGGAGCTTCAGTCACCCACCAGCCTGAAAACGGCCCTCAGCCCCTCACCCAGACTGGCCAGGCACCCCAGTGGGGACCCTCTCCCTGAAGGGGGTGTGACCAGCTGCAAACAGCCATCATCCCCTCAAACAGGCTGGCCAGGCACCCCAGTGGGGACCCCAATCCTCAAGGGGGTGTGACCAGCTGCAAACAGCCATCATCCCCTCATCCAGGCTGGCCAGGCACCCAAGCGGGACCCTCACCCTGAAGCAACAAGATGGCGGCTAATTTGCATACTGAAGGCGGGCAGCAGCGGGCAAGGCTGTCCATGGTCTGGGACCGGATCTGTGACCCTGCCGGGTGGGGGGCAGCATGGGAGGCTGTCCACGGGACCAAGACACGGATCTGTGACTCTGCCGGGCAGGGTGGCAGCGCTTGAGGCTGTCTGCGGTCTGGGACCCGGATCCGTGACCCTGCTGGGCGGGGGGCAGTGCTTGAGGCTGTCCATGGTCTGGGACCCAGATCTGTGACCTGGCGGGCGGGGGCAGTGCTTGAGACTGTCCGAGTTCCGGACCCGGATCCGTGACCTGGCGGGCGGGGCGGCAGCGGGCAAGGCTGTCCTGGGACCCAGATCCGTGACCCTTCCCGGTGGGGCGGCAGCTCGCACAGGGGCGGATCGGCTGGGGTTGGGCAGGGCAGGACACCTGGCTTCCGCCCAGCCCCAGTCACTCTGGGCAGATGAGCAGCGCAGAGAGCCTCTGGACAGGGGAGGCAGGCTGGCCTGTACTCCCCACATGGCGGTGGTGACAGCTGTGAGCGCGCCAAGCGGAGCTGCAGGCCATCAGTGCCCAGGAGTGTCTGCGCAAGATCCGCCTCCTGGCCCAGAAGGTGTAGGATTGCAGGGACAGCCACCGTGGCGGGCCAGACTGACGTCCTCCTGGCCGCACCACGGGGGTTTGCGGATCTGCAAAGCCAGAGGCCTCCCGTGTGCACATCCTCTCCTCCCCCACTTGCGTGCGAACATCCCCCAGCACACTGTCACGCTCCCACACCTGCAACAGTTGCAAACCAAGGCGTGCACAAGTTCCCCCGCCTCTCCACCGCACTTCCATCAACCCGGCATGCCTAAGTCCCCCACAGGATGTGCACACATCCCCTCTGATGCGCTCACGTCCTTTGGAGAGTGTATAGGTGTTCTGGGTTCTGAGGGTGGGCGTCTGTGAGATGACAGTGAGAGGGCGGAGTGGTGATGCTCTGTTCCCACGGAGGCCAGTGCAGCTACGAGATCACCTCTAGGGGGTTAATGCAGGTGCTGAGGCGGGAGCAGGTGCAGACAGACACACCTGGTGGGCGCGGGCAGCCCTCGCTGAGGTGCCTTCGGTCAGCATTCAAGATCAAGAACCCAGAGGCGGAGAGGAATTCCGTCCTCTCAGTGAAACAGTGGGATAGTGTAATGATTTTAATCTACCCGTTACGTATTAGGTTGAACCACATGAAACTGCCGATCTCCGACCATTTCTAATTTACAGAATGCTCCATTTCCTACGGGTCTATCTGAGAGCTTCCTTTCATAGGGGGACAATCAAGAATCCTTCTGATGGACGACAAATTATCATGAATCCCCGAAAGGCAGCAGACGCCCAGAACTGGCTGACTCAACCTCCCTTCCATAACAGAAGACGAAGGAGAGGCTCTGGGTATAGTAAGTTCAGAGGTAATGAGGGGAGGAGCAGGATGACTATGGCTCTGGTAGGAACCCCAAATAGCTCACACCCTTTGGCACTTCTCCCCACCACTCTGGATGAAGGTGCAGAGCGCAGTCACCTGTTTCCATCCAGAGCACCCTGGGAGGCGGTTATTTCCACCAGGAATGGGGCGTGGGAGGAGCGGGAAGGAATCCCCACCGGACTCCCACTTGCCCTTGTGATTTCTTCCACTACTTCTAAAGGCAGAAGCAGCCCAGGATCTTGGCAGCCTATTACTGTTTAATTTTGGGGGTAAAGAAATATTATATCTTACCTGTGTAAATAACAAAAAATCCCTAGCTCCTGAACCAACTGTGGCCCTGCACCAACCAGACATTATGTGCCTCCTGATAGGATCTGTGACCCTGCCGAGGTTCAGGTTCAAGAATTTGAACCTTGTTCTGATAAGGCCTCCAGAGCTAACCACTGATTTCCGGCAAAGACAGGAGACGGGAAGACGCCAAATGACACTTAGGGATGCAAACGGCAAAATCCAGCACGTGGGGAGACTCCCCAGGACAAGAAAGGAGGCAAGGGGATGGGGACCTCTAGACCAGGGGTTTTCAACCTGTGGGTCACGACCCCTTTGGGGGTCAAATGACCCTTTTGGGGGTGGAACGACCCTTTCACAGGGGTCGCCTAAGACCATCGGAAAACACATATATAATTACATATCGTTTTTTGTGATTAATCACTATGCTTTAATTATGTTCAAGTTGTAACGATGAAATTGGGGGTCACCACAACATGAGGAACTGTATTAGAGGGTCGCGGCATGAGGAAGGTTGAGAATCACTGCTCTAGACAAAGAAGCAGATTCATTAATACACTCGTGTGCAACCAGTGGCCTCCTCTGGCCCCTTATTTGAACAAATCAACTAGAAAAAGAAAGTTTGTGAGATAAGAGGAAAAAGGACAACATTGCCTGGACACTTAATACTAAGGAAATATTAAGCAACTTTTTCTTTTTTAAAGAGTCCTCATCTTTTAAAGTTACAAATTGCAGTGAACTGATAAATGCTGAAATGATTATTATTCTATTTGTTATATGTGTAAGAACTCCCACAATAAAAAGCTTAAAACAAGCCTGTGGGCCCGGCCGGCATGGCTCAGTGGTTGAGCGTCGACCTATGAACCAGGAGGTCACGGTTCGATTCCTAGTCAGGGCACTTGCCCAGGTTGTGGGCTTGATCCCCAGTGTCAGGCATACAGGAGGCAGCCGATCAATGATTCTCTCTCATTATCAATGATTCTCTCTCATTATTGATGTCTCTCTCTCTCTTTCTTCCTCTCAGAAATCAATAAAATATATTTAAAATACAACAACAAAAGTCTGTGGGTCTTCCTCCCCCTCCCCCCAAGTTCCCGCACACTGTCCATCTGAGCTGGGAACGGTCTTCCAGGGGCCTACAGCGGCGTAGAGGATGGCATACCTGTCGATGAACTGGTCAATAATGACGATATCGCCGGGCTGTATCTCCTCCCTCAAGGAACCGCAAGCTGTGGTCACTATGACATGAGTACAGCCCTCCTCCTTCAGGGCCCAGATGTTCGCCTGATAGTTGACTTTGGAAGGCATGATGGTATGCTGCCTCCCATGCCTGCGGGAAGAAGAGCGAATGTGGTCGGTGAGTGAGCAGCACGTTTTAATTGTGTCAGAAGAGAAAACCAATTCACAGCCCTTTCCACCAAAGCGCTTCCATTGGCAGAGGGGTTGAAAAAAGACGCTGGGCCGTAACCAGCCAACTCTAAGTATAAACCATTCGGTTTTAAAGGGCGGTTCAGAGTCTGTGTCCTTATTCTCCTATCGACAGCAGGTACTCACTTACTTAGAATTCCCTGTCCAGGAAGCTGAGTTGTGTCTACCCAGTGGGACACCAAGCCCCCCAATCAGAGGCATCTGGTCTGTGATCCCCGACACAGAAAACAAGAGGTGCTCAGGAAGAAAGCCTCTGAATAGAAATAAAAGCTCAAGCTTCCAGGTGAAGCTCTCCCGTCCTTCTGCCCAGCCACCCAAATAAGTTAATAAAGCCTTTAAAACATTAGGAGGTTTCATCTGAGAACTGATCACTTCACGCATGACCCATGTTATGGGCTGAACTGTGGCCCCCTCCATTCCTACGCTGAGTTCCTAACCCCTGGGACCAGCAGAATGCAACCATATTTGGAGGTAGGGTCTTCAACAGGGTAATTAAGTTAAAATGAGGTCATTAGGGTGGGCCCTACTATAACACAAATGGCACCCTTACAAGCAGAGAACATCTGGAGAGATACGCAGAGAACATGTGTGAAGACACAGGGACAAGATGGTCACCTACAAGTGAAGAGGGTCATCTACAAGCCAGAGAGGCCTCCGAGAGACCCTTCCCTCGGGGCCCCCAGAGGAAACCAATCCCGCTGACACCTTGCAGGTGGACCCGAGACTTGATGCCAACCAATGGGATACAGCAGAGCTGCTGGGAGTCCCTCCCACGGGTAGGCTCCATCCTGACAGCAGAGACCCACCCACGGGCCTTGCAGCGGAGGGCTGCTGTCACGTGATCTGCCCCTGCCGAGGGTCACGTGGCAGAGAATGCGCACAGCCTCCAGGAGCTGAATTCTGCCAACAGCCACGCGAACTGGAATGAGGATCTGGAACTCCAGGTGAGAACAAGGCCTGACTCTACCTTGTGTGACCCCCGAACAGCGGACTGGGCTAAGCTGTGCCCACATGGCTGACATCCCCGATACTATGAGATCACGTGTGCTGTTTTAAGCTGCTAAATGTGTAGTTAACCGTTCTGCAGCAACAGAAAACCAATACATGTATTTTCTAAAAATGTGATGCATGCCGAAACCGGTTTGGCTCAGTGGATAGAGCGTCGGCCTGCGGACTGAAAGGTCCCAGGTTCGATTCCGGTTAAGGGCATGTCCCTGGGTTGCGGGCACATCCCCAGTGGGGGGTGTGCAGGAGGCAGCTGATCGATGTTTCTCTCTCATCGATGTTTCTAACTCTCTCTCTCTCCCTTCCTCTCTGTAAAAAAATCAATAAAATATATTTTTAAAAAAATAAAAAAAAAAGTGATGCAAATGATTTTTCTCCCTCTATACCGGGAACCCTGCAAAACTTATTGCGATAACAAGGGTGTAGAAACCACTTCAGGGACCCAAAACCGACACCCCGAAAACAGAACTATAGTAATATTCACTGAATGAAACAGTTTTCCTTTATCTTTAGAAAAAGAGTTTCAACTTTAGTCAAATGCATCCTATCTCTCATTGGATTGTTCTAACTACTCTCCCAACCTAAAAAGGGGATTCCCTTTAGGTTGATGAGATATGAATCAGTTTAACTTGCCCCAAACACCGTAAGGGGTGAATAAAGGTGACTGAAACACGTTGGCTCCACCAGCACATAAAACGCATACCTGCATCATTACTCTTTCTGGGTTTTAGGTTAAATTTAAATTATCCTTCAGTAGTCACATTTGAAAAGCTTAAGACACCTTACCTTGCCAGGAGGACGCAATCAACATTCTTTATCTTCCCCAAAATTAAGGCATCAGAAGGCTGCACACAATGAATAATGATTACAACTCAGCGATTTGAAAACATAGATGAACAATTAAAAAGCTGCCACTTCGACGGTTCCACCATGAAAGGTTCCATGGAAACTTGGGCGTTGGACCACACACTTTAAAGAAGAGTCTAGATTTGATGAATAATCAGTAAATATTTACGGAGGCCTTTACAAGCACAGAGGTTCACAGGAATTTGAAGGTTGCCTCAGGCTAGGTCCCGTTTAGTGAGACCTATTTGTAGCAGGCACCCCGGCGGACTCTGACGGTATGCTGATCAAATACAGCTGTGTTGGTATCTGTCAGGTGTGAGAGCTCCGTGGGCGGGAGGGCGGGGCAGGGGAAGAGAATTAAGAACTGAGCACTGGAACCTTTTGCTCTGTTAATCAACCAGAAGATGGCCAGGGGTGGCCTGAGGTAATGGAGAGAAAGGTTTTGAGAACCTAGGGGCTCAAAAAAACATAAGGCTAAGAAGTGAGCCAAGCTTATAGCACAGCAGTTCTCAACCTGTGGGTCGCGACCCCTTTGGGGGTCGAACGACCCTTTCACAGGGGTCGCCTAAGACCATCAGAAAACACATATATAATTACCTATTGTTTTTGTGATTAATCACTGTGCTTTAATTATGTTCAATTTGTAACAGTGTAATTGGGGGTCACCACAACATGAGGAACTGTATTAAAGGGTTGCGGCATTAGGAAGGTTGAGAATATAATATAACATAGCAGGACTCGGAAGACCTGAGATCGACCTAAGGACTCGCTGAAAAAGAGGGTTTGGTTGGGACCCTCAGATGCAGGGACCTTCAGAGCCGGATGGAAAACTGCAATGTTTTGAAGCAGCACGAGGAGCAGCCCCCTTTAAATAGAGAAGGAGGGTCTTACTGTATTCCCAGTTATGCAATCCTGTTACGGATCCCCACGACATCCCCTTTGGGGCCAGGGCTTACTGTGAATGCTGCTTCCTCCCATAGCCTTTCTCCTAAATTAGTGTGACACGACCTACATTACAGCTTCTAATGTAACCAGATTAGAAGCTGATTTACATGTTTTAAATGCAGAGAACTGAAGGGTACAGTTGCTATGTCTCAGATGAGTATGTGGCTTCTAGGAATGTAAATTGAGAAGTAATTTGCACATGTTCAGCAGCAGTACTTTTAATATAATTAAGTCCGGGCGCCCTTTCGAGACACTGTCTCCGCTGGTAGAACCCACTGACCGGACTCCTGGCCCCTCTCAGCCTGAGGCAGGCAGCCCCGGGGCTGACAAGACAACAGCCATTTAAAAAAATTATTTTAAACTTAAAAATCAAGCCAGCTGGTATGTCTCCATTAACTGGGTACTAACCTTGCCAAATGGAGTATCCACATACTTCTCGGTTCTTCCTTCTAAGATTTCTGGATCATCCAGGCCTGTTCCACCAATGATTCCAATCTACAGGGAGACCACAAAAAGGTGCCATATTTCACCAGTTTCCATTAGAAACAAGATCAGAAGCAAATTCGTTTACTCACATGCTCTTCTCCATTCCTGCTAGTTATTTTTTTTAAAATCTACAACTACTGACGAACAGTCATTCAACACACATTTGAAATAACCCAAACGTAGGTCACCCTTTTGGACTTTATCACATTTACTGCTGATAATTTAAGCAACAAATTAGTACAGAAAGGTACTCTATTTAGCTTCAGCAGGAAATCAATCCTCAAAATAGGCAACTGCGGTTGCAGAAAGTACACTCAGTAACCGATTTTTTATTCTCTACTAAATGGACTGTGGAATAAAGAAAGTTCAAAAGACTGCTGGGATGGAAAATATTCTGTATGGCCACTTCCTAATGATTTCTCCTCATCCCTCCATTAGATAAAGAAACACAAGAGATGTTCTTTCCTGAGCCACTAACATCGGAGCTGCAGGGGACCACAGACAGACCGGTCTAGAATAGCATGAAAGATCAGCCTCATGTATATTTGTGAAACCCAAATGCCATTCCTAGGTATGTATAAACAAATGAGTAATTCAAAGGTAGTTCTAATCTTTTAAAAGTTCCAGTGTCGTATTGCCGTTTCCAGAACCTAACAGTCCTTGAGACCAATCTAATTTGACGATGAAGAAACACAAACAAGAACAATTTCAGCCAAAACCGGTTTGGCTCAGTGGATAGAGCGTCAGCCTGCGGACTGAAAGGTCCCAGGTTCGATTCCGGTCAAGGGCATGTACCTGGGTTGCGGGCACATCCCCAGTGGGAGATGTGCAGGAGGCAGCTGGTCGATGTTTCTCTCTCATCGATGTTTCTAACTCTCTATCTCTCTCCCTTCCTCTCTGTAAAAAATCAATAAAATATATTAAAAAAAGAGAACAATTTCAAAGATAAATACAATATTAGCTGGCCAGTCAACGAAAAATTAGAGAAATGAAGTCGTTAGGAAGGTTGCTCTCCGGGCCGCTACTTCCTAAAGGAGAAACAATACTTAAATTGTCAGCAACAGGCGAGAGAGATGACACGTTACTAAGAAACCCAATGGAAAATGACATGAGCATTGCTTTAAATCTATTGTCACTTGAGTAAAGTCTCCACTAAGTGGGAGAAAGTAACTCCTTGAAGGGGAAAAAAAACGGGGAGTTAAAGATTAACTGAACATCTGAATAATTCAGATTGTGTTAACAAGTGGATTTAAATTAATGTGTGGGAAAAGGGTTACCTCTCCGGCCCTCAGTTTCCTGGAGAAAAAAAAAAAAAGTCGCCCTATCGGGTTTTGCTCAGTGGATAGAGCGTCAGCCTGCGGACTCAAGGGTCCCAGGTTCGATTCTGGTCAAGGGCATGTACCTTGGTTGCGGGCACATCCCCAGTAGGGAGTGTGCAGGAGGCAGCTGGTCGATGTTTCTCTCTCACCGATGTTTCTAACTCTCTATCCCTCTCCCTTCCTCTCTGTAAAAAAAATCAATAAAATATATATTTTTTAAAAAATCAACAAAACAGAAAATAAGGGCAATTTGGTGAGATTTTGCTGAAGAGCTGCCCGTTACAGGATTTGGAACTCTGCCTCCCCACAACTTCCTCAAGTGGCTAAACCTGTTTTTTTAAAAGATGTTTTTATTGACTTTTGGAGAGAGAGGAAGGGAGAGGGATAGACTGAAACATGGGTGAGAGAGAAACACCACTGACTGGCTGCCTCCTGCACGCCCCCTTCTGGGGATCAGCCCGCCACCGGGCCACCGGACGTGGGGTGTGCCCCGACCCGTGACCGGGAAGCAAACCGGGACCTCCGGGTTCATAGGTCAAAACTCAACCACTGAGCCACCAGCCGGGCTAACCCAGTGTGTGAAGTTGGTGCCACCTTGTGGTCCATTACTGAAACCACAGCAGGTTACATGCAGTCAAGTCTAACCACATTTGCCGGTTACAAATCACAGGTTCAAATCACAGTTTCACATTCACATTTCAAAGCAACAGAAATGTTCACTTAAATTATACATTTAAATCATGCCAGTTCAATAGAATTTTTTTTCTTTTAAATCACACTGTTTTATGCAATCCTAACCCTTCACCTGCCTGGCTTCTCCATTTTACCCTTCATTCCAAGTACCTCTAAAGGTACTTGTGGTCACACACACATCGTAGGGGACTAACACATCATCACCCCAGACCACAGAATTGAAGTGCTGACTCAAATTACTCTCAGTCTGCTCTTCAGGGATTTTATCGCTGATGAAAACTTCCATTTTGCAAAAACAACCCCCCCCCAAACACACACACACACACACACACACACACACCAAACAAACCCCAAAACAACAAAAAGCTTATGACCACTTTGACTTGGCTGTTTCTGGATGATCTCTGGGCCATAGCATCTCACATTCTAGACTCTCAGAGTCATATGTACAAAACGAACATGTTTTGAAACCTTGCTCTCAGTTTAGGCAAGCTAGCCCGAAGCTCGTAAGAAATGCTAATTGGGATCCTGCTGAAGTTCAGTGCCCTTGAGCCCACCCTCAGCACTCCCAAGCTCCAGTCCCCACCACCCTGACGCCATGACAACCCTGCATTAGGTAGCTGGTAATTCGGCCCTCACCAAGGAACAGGTAGTAAGTACTGGGCATGGAAGCAAGAGCTGCTACTGCTAGCCAGAAAGCCCAGCATGTGGTCTCTGGCCCTGGACTATGTGCAGGAGTGTCCATCCATTCACCCAACTGGCTCTGATTGTTCATGGAAACACTTACCTTGCAAGGGACACAGAACAAGTACAGCAATTGAATACTGCCACTCCAGGGAACTGGATTTCTAACCATTTCCTGCAGCGGCAGATTGAGGCCAGCAGTGCCAAGATGTGGTAATGTCGCCACCTGCTGGCTCCACGGCAAAGTACTGTGTCTGAGCACTTACATGTCGTAGGCACTATGGTAGGTGCTTCAGTCCTATGGGGCAGACCCCATAGTATTACACCCATTTTACAAAATTGAAAAGAGAAAGCATAAAAAGGAAGAGACTTATCCAAGAGCTAATCACAAGGAGCCACGCTGGAATAGCAACCCAGGCCTTTCACGTTGACCACTAAGACGTGCTACCTACCAATACCCACCTGGGAATCTTTATAACACCATACCCTAGTACAGTGATGGCAAACCTTTTGAGCTCGGCGTGTCAGCATTTTGAAAAACCCTAACTTAACTCTGGTGCGTGTCACATATAGAAATTTTTTTATATTTACAACCATAGTAAAACAAAGACATATTTTTGATATTTATTTTATATATTTAAATGCCATTTAACAAAGAAAAATCAACCAAAAAATGAGTTTGCGTGTCACCTCTGACATGCGTGTCATAGGTTCGCCATCACTGCCCTAGTAGAAAAGTTTTCTCTCCATCTTATGAGAAAACGGATGCTCTGAGAGGTCAAGTTCTGGCTGAAGGTCACAGAGCACGCTTAGAAACAGTGACTCTGGGCGTCTAAGTGAAGCCCCTGGGAGGGCTGGGGGTGGGGCAGCTCTCCATCAATGACCTCATCCACACTTGGGAAGCAATGACAAGATCTTCCTGGGCCTCCTGGGCCAGAAGCATCAGCCCCCATGCAGGCAGTCCCAGGCTGCCTAGGAAATGTGTTCCGGGGCTGAGATGGGATTTTGGGGCCAATTCTCCCCAGCCAGGACTTCATTACACAAGATAAAGTTCTGAATAGAAACCCCCTGATCAATCAAGATCATTGCCAAATTTTCATAGCTTAGTGTCATCCCACACTCTCCCACTGACACCGCCAAGCCAATCTTCGTAAGAGAGGATTGGACTTTCTGAGACGATGAAAGCATTTTGTTGACATGTTGGCTTACTTGGGCAGAATGGCTACTTCCAGCAATGTTGACAGGGCTCGTACGAACCCCTCCCCTCTATTTCCCCCGGTGCCTGGACCCAGGAGATTTCACATACCCACCTTGGTTTCACATTGAAGCACCATCACACTGAGGCCAGGACATACTACTTAAGGAACCCAGTCCTCCAGGATGGCATCTCAAAACACCATAGCCCCGAGCAGCTGAGACCAGCTCCTGCCAGGAGGAGGGCTGCCTCTGAGTGTTCAAGCTCTTGAAGCAAGAGAGCCGGGCAGCACTCCCTGATCTGAGTGCTCCAGTCCTTCAGCTCTGGTGGCCACTGACAAGTTTGGCAAGTGCAGCAGGCAGCGCCCTTCTTATTGAGCCAAACTGGCTCGGAGGCCTCCCAGGGCCTTGCAAAATCCCAGAAGTCCAGCTGTGTGAGGAGAAAGTGGCTAAACGTCTGCTTGGGAGGCCTGTTCAAAACCCGTGATATTGTCCACAGATGGAGCTGGTGGCTCCATCTCTGACAAGATAACCTATCTGTAAGCCACCCCCGCGGGTGATGGTTATGGGCTCACTGTGTCCCCCAAATCTATACCGTGAAGTCCTAGCCCCTGATACCTCAGAATGTGACTATTTTTAGAAATAAGCTCTTTGAAGAGATACAGTTAAAGGAGGTCTCTGGTGGGCAGGGTGGTATCCATTATGATTGGTGACCTCGCAAAATACTAGGACACAGACATGCAGAGGAAGACCATATAGTCACAGCAAGGAAATGGCATCTGCCAACCCAGGAGAGAGGCCTCAGATGAATCAACCTGCTGACACCTTGATCTTGAACTTGCAGCCTCCAGCACTGCCTAAGCCATCCAGTCTGTGGTACTTTGCTATGGCAGCCCCAGCCAACAAGTAAGTAACACTGTGTTCAGAACATCCTTGGTTTTTACTTAACCAACCTCCCCCTGCAAAGTCAAGATATTATTCTAATGGGTAGACATCCCTCCTGAAACGGTCCATTATTTTTTGAGGATTTTCCGGGAAGCTTACTGTACTCTCTAAAGCTCACCTTCCCTTGAGGACAGCAGGGTCCCTCCCAGTGTGCCCCCTGGGTCAGCTGCTTCAGCCGTGGGCAAACTACGGCCCGTTTGAAATGAATAAAACTAAAAAAAAAAAAAAAAAAAGACCCTACCCTTTTACGTAATGATGTTTACTTTGAATTTATATTAGTTCACACAAACACTCCATCCATGCTTTTGTTCCGGCCCTCCGGTCCAGTTTAAGAACCCATTGTGGCCCTCGAGTCAAAAAGTTTGCCCACCCCTGTACTAGACTCACCCGGGAGCTTTCAATACCAAAGCCCAGGCCACAGACTCCAGACATGCTGATGAATTGGCCAAGGCACAGTCTGTTTTCTTAAAGCTCCGCAGGTGGACCTCACACGCAGCCAGAACCGAGCACCTGCTCTAGGACCCGGACCGTGAAATTCTAAAATCAGGGCTCCCCGAGGGTCACAGGCTGAAGAATGGTCCCCGAGAAAGATCCTATCTGCCCCGTCCTAATTCCCAGAAGCTGCCATCATTACTTGATGTGATTAAAGATTTGGGGATGGGAGATTATCCCGGATTATCTGGGCGGGCCCTGAATACAATCGCAAGGGTCCTTGTAAGATGATCACGCGAGGAAGAGGGTGATGTGATGACGAATGCAGAGGGAGAAACGGGAACTAAGTGAGGCAGGTCACGGGGCAAGGAACGCCAGTGACCTCTGGAGGCTGGAAAAGGCAGTGAAACAAACAGATTCCTCCTTCGATGCTCCAAGAGGACTTGCCTTGCCCTACAGACACCTTGATTTGAACTGACAGAGAGCACATTTGCATGGTTTTAAGCCCTCGAGCTTGTGGTCATCCTTAAGGCAGCCACAGGAAACCAATACACTAAGAATCACCGGAAGAGCTTGTTAAGGTGCAGATGCTCAGCCTTTTCAAAGCTCCCTGGGGCAGTGGTTGTCACACCTTAGTGGGCATCTGTCTAGACTTGGGCCCTTCTAAACCCAGATGGCTGGGCCCCGCCCCCCAGAGCTCCGGATTCAGCAGGACTGGGGTGGGGCCCAAGAACCTGCATTTCTAACATATTCCCAGATGGGTGCAGAGGCACTGAGTCCTTTGAGAACCACGGTTTTGGAAGCTTCCGTAGCACAGACTAGAATACCATGAATATGATCAGTTATCTAGGGTCCACTGCACACAGTTCCTCACCTGTACCTACAGGCACACCTTTTTAAAAAAACATTTTTGTTTCAGAGTAGAAGAGAGAGGGAGAGAGGGCGAGACAGATAAAAGCATCAATATGAGAATCATTGATTGGCTGCCTCCTGCACGCCCTCTACTGGGGATTGAGTCCACAACCCAGGCATGTGCCCTTGATTGGAATCTGAACCCTTCAGTCTACAGGCCGAGGCTATATCCACCGAACCAAACCAGCTAGGGCCACACCTCCTTTTTATTGTGCTTCACTTTACTGCACTTCACAGATATTGTAGGTTTGTTGCATTTTGTTTTGTTTTGTTTTGTTTTTAACAAATGGAAGGTAAGACCCTCCACCAGCAAACAGATTACAACTTGCTTTATTGTGGCCGTCTGGAACCAAACCCTCACTATCACTGAGGTATGCCAGTATAAGGGAAGGAAAGAAATCCATAGAATTATAAGAATCAAATGAAAATAATGCATTAATATCTGTCACTGTCCTTGTACACCTTCCCACCTTTAGCGAAAACAAACAAAATCCAAATGAACTTCCTCAAAGCAGCAACAACAACAAAAAAAGCCCCTAACCTGGCTTTTCGGTGTGGGCCGGGACACAGCCTGGTGCTGCTCCATCTCCTTTCCAGGCAGACTCTGCCTCAGGGACTTAGCCCAGGTCCCTCAGCCAAGTGTGCACTGCTCTCCGGGGGTGCATGTCCTGCAATGCTCAGGACAGTCCTACAAAGACGGGAGCTGTCCTGACCAAAATGCCAGTGTCCCTGGGCAAAAAATACAGGCTCATGGGTCATTTCCAATTGGGGCATGTAGGTTGTCCCCCAGTTTCTGAGAGTCATTTAAAGACCTTGGATCTGAAGGCCTTGGCCAGCCACAGACAGCCAAGAGGCGAGCGTAAGAAGCCCATTCTCCAGTCTACATTCCATCCCCCTTAACGCCGTTTTGTGAACAGCTCACTAACCCACCTATAGTGGGACCATATCCCCTCCCTGTCATAGCAACTATAATAAACAAGACTTATTTTTAATCCCCCAGAGCAAAAGCTGGGAAGCTGCCTGGGGGACCCCCACACCCCCATTGAAGGAGGCCCCCAGAGTGCCCTGTCTGGTGCCAAAGACCTGTTCAGGCCCCTGCACGGTCAAGCATACCACCTGCCCACGGCTGATGCTGGGGTTCTCCCAGACACGGCTGTTATCAGTCCCTGTTATCAGTCCCAGGGGCGAGGGAGGCAGCTGGCTTCTTGCACTCCCTCTACAATCGCTCTTCCTTTAAGCTGCATGATCTCTTTAGTCCCACAATAAAACAGGGCACAGAGACCACAGGTGGGACTCAGGACTGTCTCACAACATCTAGTTGGTGGAATGTCAGTTACTATCTAGGTCCGACTGTATGATGCTGGGCACCTTAGCTGGCCTTTCTGGGCCTCGGCTTCCTATCCACAGAAAGGGGTTCGTGTGGCTCTTGCATCTTCAGGAACCTTCCAGCTCTGCATTCCATGATCTGGGGGCAGGATATGGTTTTTATCAGCCTATTTTGCTCTGGACACCAGCACAGGATGTTGCCTCAGGAGCCTGGGGACTTGGGTGTTGGCAGCATGGACTCTCCATAGCAAAGGCTTACCCTTCTAACCTCAAAGACAGCCAGGAGCAGGCAGGCCCAGCACGACGCGTACTTCTTCAGTTTATACTCAGCAGCTCGCCGAGGCCAAAAATATGCATCATTCCATATTACATCAGGCTCTCGCCACAGTGCCCTGCAGTGCCCGCTCCGCACTCAAATGCACTGCACCAATTTTACAGGGAGGCTGTGTGGCGAGGAGAACGCTGAACCAGGTTCCCGTGAGATGGTTTTAAATACCACCCCTCCCTGTTTTTACTATTTCTCTAAGTGTCTGGGACAGGTTTCCTGCTTGCCCACTGACAGCGGTGGCCAGGACACCTATCATTATTTAATTGTTGGAGAAAAGATATTCAAAACGAATCTCAGCTCCCCCACTTAAAAGCACTCCCACTGAACAAGTTTCAACACCCCAGCAAACCCTGCAGTAAACCCCCACTTTATAGATGGGCACCCAAGGAACTGGCTTAGCACATGAGCTTCATTAAAACTCTTTCTGCCTTTCCCCCCCTCCCCCTACTGGTAAGGGAGGAGTGTTCTGCAGATATATTTGAATGCAATGTTCTTTTCAAAATGAACAACCGAGTTTCAAATCTAAGCGTGACTACAACACTCCCCACCCCACTCCCGGTCATAACTGTCGCATGAAAAGCTGCAAGGGCCTAATAAACGAATAATCACTGTGACGGATAACAGGGAGCCGGCAGAGATCTGCCTTCTCCCCGGAGAAGTGAACACAAAGCGAGGAACCAACAGATACCTGGGTAAAGGAGGCGGGCCTCCTCCCTACCCCTGAGGCCAAGCATGTCTAAAGTTATCTGACTTCCTAGCCAATCATAAACAGAGAGGAGATCTTAAGTTTTATCGATTTCCCCTTAAGCACTGTAACTCGACACTCTCCCCGGACGCCAGCCAGGCCAAAAGTGTGTAAGTCCCAGGGAAGCTCGGGGCACCCCTCAGAACTTCAGAACTGTACCCTCCTCTGGCTCAGGATCCCACCGTCTTGTGCGGAGACCTGTACAAGTGCCAGCGGTTCTCAACCTGTGGGTCGCGACCCCTTTGGCGGTCGAACGACCCTTTCACAGGGGTCGCTTAAGACCATCCTGCATATCAGATATTTACATTACGATTCATAACAGTAGCAACATTCCAGTTATGAAGTAGCAACGAAAATAATGTTATGGTTGGGTCACAACATGAGGAACTGTATTTAAAGGGCCAGAAGGTTGAGAACCACTGATTGAAACCGATCTCTGACTTTCAAGATCGCAAACAAAGCAGTTTAAAGCCAGAGGCCTCCACCGAGGGAGCCGCCTGTACTCCAGGTCCGCGCTGCAGAAGTCAGAATGCCTGAAGCAACGTGCTGCAGGGGGCACTTCAGGGGAAGGCCTACGTTTGGAAGAAAAAAAAAAAAAGAAGCCGGAAGCTTGTAAAAGAGCAAGCACGTTAGTTCTCCCACGTGGGCCGCGGGCAGAAAGCGGAATCAGAGCGGAAGCACGAGGAGACGGGCTCCGAGCTGCAGGCACGCTGCTAGCCCCAGCCGAGCGCATCTCCGGGAAAAGCAGTCCCACTCGGGAAAGGCTGGCGCGCGGCGGCGCTCTGCCCACAGCCCCTCTCCAAAGGGCTTGCCCACACCCTGCACGGTGAGGGCGCAGCTGAGACCAAAGGTGGAGGGGGCGAGCTTGCAAGCTTTCCCTCCGGCCCGCTCCCCCCCTTCCCCTGGGCGAACCCGTCCTGGTGCAGTGCCCCAGCCCTTTCCCGCCTCGGCGGGGGCGCACGGGCAGGGCACCCAGGCTGGGCGCACGCCCCCGATGCGCGGTCCCCCCCGGGCGGGAGCGAGAGCGCAGCGGGCAGGGGCGGACCGCAGCCCCCAGGACGGCTAATCTCACCTTCACGGCTGGGAGGGTGGCTCCTGAGGCCATGTCTGCGCCGGGAGGAGGCTGCGGGATGGGCACACGGAGAGAGACGCGGAGCCCGATGGAGCGCGCGGCGCGGGACCGAGCAGTGCGGGTCCGGAGTGGCTCTGACTCCTCCTCTTCCTCCCCGGGACAGCTGGATTGGCTGCTGGCGCGGGATCTCCCCCGCCGCCCCCCTCCTCAAATCGGGGGTTCCCGCGTCCCGCCCAAGTGCAGACTTTTCCGGTTCCCCATGGGTTTGTGTTTTCCCCATCCCCGAGGTAACGGGTTATAACAACGATAGCAGTGGAGACCGTTTACGGAGCGCGTGTAGGGTGCCAGACTGCTGTGCACTTTAACCAGCCGCGTTAACTTTAGCAGGAGCCCCACAAGGAAGAGCAGCATCCCCGCTCTGCCAAGTATGGCTGGCTCCTCTGTGAAATCTGGCTGGCCTGCGCTCAGCTCGCGCGGGGGAAGGAGGGGGTGCATCAGCGGCAGAGGGAGCGGACTACGGCTTACTCATCTCTAGTGGGAGGGGAGGCTCTTAATACGCCGAGACCGCGCCTAGCTCCCAGCCTGACATGACAGGGCCAGCACCATCTTTAACCCCTGCCACTGGGCAGCATCCATTCGGGCTGCAGGCTCCTGTCTTCATCATTTCACATTGGCCGGTCCCCTCCAACACACTCCAACACACACACACACACACACAAACACACACACACACACACACACACGATCCTCCTGGATCACAGATATAACGGAACATTTGGCCACTACTTTGTCAGTGGATTAGAGCCTGGCTCTGGAAGCTGAGGGGAAAAGCTAAAAGTTCTATTCACAAGCAGCCACTCTGGATAGAGCAGAACATTGTCAAAAAAATATCTTAAGAGGACAATAAGAAAATTAATAGTAATAATAATAAAATTTAAAAATTGCTGCCCCTTTTAATTCCCAGGCAGGCATAAAATCCTCAGAGATGTGTGAATTGGTGTAAATTCAGGCTTAAAAACCTCAGTGTCATCATGGACTAGTAAATTTACGGTGCAGAGACAAGGGAGTTGGACAAGTAGGACTTGAGGAGGGGAGTCAGATCAGAGGAACGGCTGCCAAATGCATTCCTGAGTCTGTCTGAGTGTCATTGTAGGTTTTTGTAGGTTCAGGATGCCCAGTTATAAGCGATGAACAAATCACTTTACTTCAGGTATGGTAGTTTACAGTTCACATGGCAAGACTCCACAGTTTTTATAAGACATTCACGGAGTGATTTACATAAATACTTGGTTTTCTATCATGATGCTCCATTGCCCTTTGTGTTGGCACACCCTGAGGCTGTTCCTTTAACTTGGTTGAGTGCCTTGACTCATTAGTGGTGACCACTCTATTTTTGACAACAATTACCAGATAATCAGGTTTCCTAAGAAATAATCTTAGGGAGGATTTTCAATGATTTGTATTCTGCTTTGGACAAGCTTAAAGAATGCCATAGAGGATCTTTGTGATTAGCTGGTTATAAATTCAGAGAGAGCTCAATGGTTCTTGCAACTATTCATGGTGCAAAAGTAATAATTTTCCTCATGGGAAGGATACATAGAGTTAGGAAGTATCTGGGTATAATAGCAGCTGCCGTTATGGAAGTCCTTGCATTCCCTTGCTGGCCTGACAGCAGTAAACTATGGGGAAAATTATTCTCTATATTTCTGAAAAACAGATAATTTTCTAAGTATATAAATAATTCTCTTTCAAAAAATATTTGAGTTCTTGGGAATGTTTTGCTTACAAGTGTAAATCTATCCTGTCAGGAATTTGAAATGATTAAAAATGAAAGACATTTTTGAAAAATGCTTAAAATATTTAATTGAATATAATTACAAAAGAGAACTGAGGGGAATAATTCTGTTCAGTATAGAAATATTAATCCAATCATCAATGAAAAACTTATGACATTTTTCCTCATACCCAATTTAAAATAGAATAGAAAAATTTGTAAGTTGAAATTAAATATTGAAGGAAAACTTGTTTTTAATTTTGTGACCTTAATAAATTGAACACTAATTTTAAACTAAATAGCTTTTAAACACTTCTTAATACACACAGAAACCTCAACTCTGGAATATTAAACATAAAAACAAAATATTCACATTGATTATTCCACCGGTAGAGGAAACTGGCCAGACTGAAGAGCATGAGGAACAGTCTGCAGGTGAGTAAAAGGGATAGTAGATACCTCGTTCAAGAAGTTTGGATGAAGAAGGAGGAGACATTGGAACATGATAAGAAAAAATAGGAAGTCAATGTTTTTAATAGATTTGTAAGCACAGAGTGAAGTTCACACAGAAGGAAAACTGGGAGATACTAATAGAGTGAGAAGGCTAATGAGGCAGGACCCCAGAGGATCCCAGAGGAATGGCATTAGAAGCACAGGTAGGGACGTGGTCATACATCAGCAGACAGAGACATGGGTCTGGAAGGAAGGAGGTAAGAAGGGGGCTCTAGATAAATTTGAGGTAGGTATTGTGGCTCTAGCTGGTTTGGCTCAGTGGATAGAGCATCGGCCTGTGGACTGAAGGGTCCCGAGTTTGATTCTGGTCAAGGGCACATGCCCAGGTTGTGGGCTCGATCTCCAGTGGGGGGTGTGCAGGAGGCAGTCCGTCAATGATTCGCTCTCATCACTGATGTTTCTATCTCTCTCTCCCTCTCCCTTTCTCTCTCTGAAATCAATACAAATGTATATAAAGAGTAGGTGTTGTGAACCTATAGGACATCACTCCTGATGGCCTAATTTTCTCCAGAAAGTGGGGGTTGCATAATGGGTTTGAGGATAGATGGTAAATTTTGGGATGGCTGTGGAACCATGTCAGCTTACGGATGTGGATTTGAAATAGTACCCATCTGCAAGGGTATACAATAGTGGGGAAGGAAGAAATTCTATCCTTCTAGGTTCTTTCGGCTGGTCTAATAATTAAATCCACAGAAGACATATTAACAAGGTAAAATAACCAAATTTAATTACTTGCATATATATGGGAACTCCATGTATATGAGAGGTTCAGAGACAGAAAGGTAAAATAAGGTATATATAACATCCTGAGCTAAGGAATGTAATATAGAGAAGAGGAGGACAATTGGTAGTTTGATAAGAAGAGCAGATGTTCAGTGATTAGATGTTTGCCCTGCCATAGAGATAGGTCATAAAAAGTTAGCTCTGGTAATAACTCATTATGGGTCAGGCCCCTGATTTAACATTTCTAGGTAGTTACGGTGGGGACAGACGTTTCTCTTGAGCCCACAGGGTCTCTATTGCCATCAGCTCAAAAGAATCCACGTGCCCTCAACTCTGGAATATTAAACGTAAAAACAAAATACATTGATTATTCCACCCAGAGAGGAAACTCTTAATGGGGAGGTTTGCTCTGAACCCCTTAATATTTTCCCTGATTAGTCAGTAGAGATTGACTAATTAGTTAGGGGTTCAAGGAACAAAGGTGTTGGGGAGGTGAGTTTATATTATCAACCACGGGAGTCCAGCCTTCTAGCGAACAAACACGCCAGGATGGGTGAAAGTGAAGGACTGGGGAGGTTGAATTCTCCCGGAAATCTAAGAGCAGTGATGGCGAGGTGAAGGGGTGTGAAAGATGGAAGGAGGGCAGGTCCT